TACCCTCTCAGCCTTCTGGCTCGCTACGTGGCTCCTGGTAGGCACCGAAAGGTGCACTGGGATGCTGCAAAGAGGGTGTTGCGTTACTTGTGCAATACGTCGGGCATGGGGCTCGTGCTTGGAAGACGGGGTCCAGTTGTCCTCACTAGTCACGCAGACGCTTCTTGGGTTGATGACTCAGCTACGCAGCGGTTGTCACAGGGTTACACCTTCAGCCTCGGTTCCGGCTCTGTTTCCTGGCGGTCTACCCGCTCGTCTTCGGTTCTCAGCTCCAGTTGTGAGGCTGAGATCTACGCCGGGGCCATGGCTGCACAGGAGCTACGCTGGCTCACCTACCTGCTGACCGACTTGGGAGAGCAGCCTCGTTCACCTCCAGTTCTGTACGTAGACAACAAGGCCATGATTGCCTTGTGTCAGGAGCACTGACTAGAGCACCGAACGAAGCACATCGCTCTGCGATACTTCCTTGCTCGAGAGTTGCAGCAGCGTGGCCAGCTTCGTCTTGTGTACGTGGCCACCAGGGCCAACACTGCTGATATATTCACCAAGGCACTTCCACATGGTGATCATCAGCGCTTCTCTACTGTGTTAGGCCTTGTGCCTACTTTGCCTCACTTGCTCACTGTGTGACTTTGCTTGTACTGTGATCTATATATATACCTGCATGCTTAAACTTGCTAGGGTATGAGCACTGTATTGTTTGTTCTCTTTATATAACTCTGCATGTGAACTGGCCTTGTGGCCCTTTGCTTGTGCTCGGACTGTGTGGTGACTTTGTGATCCACCCTGAGCTTGCTTTGCTTTTCGTGACTGGTCTTGTGATCACTTGTTCTCCCCCACTTTGCCTATGGGGGTGTGTTAGAATGTTATAGTGCTTACATTTGTGTAGGCTCTAGTGGGGTAGCCCATAAGGGGTACAGCCCAATTAGGGTTAGTACTTGTACCCAACTTCTGTTCAATGCATCCATTCTCGTTAATTCTTCTGAAAGCCAGAGCAGAAAATCTGATGGACCTGGAGCGCGCCCTACAGTACTTCATCTCCACACCTGACATCGGGCTCTCCTACTCCGCGCTAACAACGACATCCTTCAATCTCATCGGCTACGTGGACGCAGATCATGCCGCTGACCGTGCCAATCGACGGTCACAAACCGGATTTGTCGTCTGCCTCCAGCCAACGGGCCCAATCTCCTGGAATTCCCAGAAGCAAGAGATGGTTGCCCTGTCGTCAGCCGAAGCAGAGTACATCGCCGCGACATCAGCAGTTCGCGAAAGGGCTCTACCTGCAAGAACTACTGTAGGAAGCGAAAAAATCCAACTTCGCCCACCTTTCGCCTTCATTTCGACAACTAGAGCGCGATCAGGATCGCGAACAAGCCAGGCTTCGTCAATCGAACGAAGCACATCACACTTCGATACTTTTTCGTGAAGGACGAAATTGACCAGGGCAAGGTTGACATGGCATACTGCCCCACTACCAAGATGGCAGCCGATTTCCTCACCAAGCGACTACCACGTCAACAGTACCAGCACTGCTCCAACCTCATCGGAGTAGTCAAGCGAGACAGCCCTCGACACGCTCAGGAATGAAGGGGGGTGTTGAGATATGAACTTTTTTAGAAGGCATTCGTGTACGCTGCAGGAGCCGAATCTACCGAGTACGAAGTCGAGGAGTCAGAAGAGTCGAAGCGACACGAGCAACAGTCTGGTCGAGACCGATGTAGGCAAAAACATTTGAAGTGAAAAAGGCGGGAACAGGTTTGAAACTGGTTCCCGCGCCGCACGGTTTGAATCCGCTGTAATAAGAGAATGTACCCCTTAAAGTACATGGCTAGTCTAGGTCGTTTCGTATTCCTCTGTACTATTATATAAACCTATGTATACATTTGTTTTAATCATCTCAGTCATTTACATTCACTCTGACATGAGGCTAAAACTTCCGCTGCAATAAACTACCTGCAATGCGATCCACCCTGAGCCGATCCCGGCTAAGTCTTGTTTAGGATTGTAACAGCGTTGGCGTGCAGCGCGCACTGCTGCTGTTCGCGGTGCTTACGCGCTGGCACGGGGCGCGAATCGAGGGGCCTTCGGGGCGCGAATCAGGGGATCTTCGGTGCGCGAATTGGGGGGCCTTCGGGGCGCGAATTGGGCGGGCTTCGGGACGCAAATTCGTGGGCCTTCGGGGTGCGAAAAGAGGGACCCGCGGGGGTCGTCTATGGGGCGATTCGGGGGACCCGCGGGGCGCATTACGGGCTGCGTGACGGGTGGGCTCATGATTCTTGTCAAATAGTACTTAGGAGATTAGGAGCTTGGAGGGAGAGAGTAGCATAGCGAGATGGATATCGAGGGAGTTTGGGTTGGCCAAAGAGGTTCAATAATGAGAAACAGTACAAGGATATAGGCAAGGAAAAGAGAGGGTACACCACCAACAGTTGATGCTAATAACTAAACTAGTACACTAGCTAGCTGTAGGCAGTTATAAGATATGCAATATAATTCAACAATTCTTTAAATAAAGGGGGGGGGGGGGGGGGGGGGTGAGGTTATAGGAAAGAACCTAATCTGGTAGCATGTTAAGATGAAAACTAAGCTTGGGAAGCTTAGGAACGAGAGAGACGTGAGAAACATTAGAGAAAGGGTTTCAATAATGAGAACAAGTACAAGTTATAGAAGGGAATGTGGCAACGGGGGTACACCACCAACAGAAAGAAACCTAACGTGATACTACATTCACTAGTTTGCATGAAGTTATATCAACGTTCCACCTAACCCTAATTCTATCAACGTTCGGCCGATTTCTTCGACACCGAGGCTGCCTCGCATCGCCTTCGGTTTCCCCTTGCCCAGCCTACACCCAACCTCGCATTGCCGAGGTTCCCGCCTAGCTAGGTTAGCCCGCTGTATAATCATGTGTCTTTCATTGAATGGTCGGTCCATATTGTCACAGATTCGTTATTCGTTATTCCGCGTAACTCTGTTGAACAACTCATACCGTAACAAGCCGGTACCATGAGGACGTGTAGTTTTGTTTAAAAAGCCTACGAGCCACTCACTGGTGCGCAACTGGTTTGTTTGTGAAAGATCGAAGCATCCCTATCCACTATGAATCGCGGTGCGCGCACCTGGATGCACGCGACAGGTTGGCAGCCGTCGCAAACGGGTCCGTGCGTCACGAACGACGTCCAACAAGAAGCGCTTGCACCCTCGTACTGGACAACACCCAGCTTGTGCGATGTTTGCGATGAGACGAAAATCGCGACCCGTCAGGTTCGGAAGGCTTCAGCGATTTGGCCGTGGTGTTCGTGGCGAGCCGCCGTGAATCTTGGCCTCATTCTGGCAGTGAAAAGTCCCTCCCTCACCTCAAAATGTTGGCACAGAGAGGGGTGGAGACACTGGACAGCTGACTGGTATTTCTATGCTAATATTATGGTCGTAACCGGAGTGGTTTCAGAGCACATTTTCTTTAGAAGTTACCGAAAGTACATGCAACGGGGTGTGAGTAAAGAGAGTCGGGAATGATTCCGTAGAGGACGAAATTACGCTATCACAGGTAAATAATAATTGCTACAACGCCGTGACAAAGAGAACCAAGCGGTCCTAGTGATCAGAAGGGAATGTGTTATAGAGTACATGTTTTGTAAATGATGCAAGGGTAATTACTCTATTTGAAATAACCCTTACGTGCATTTCCCCTACTTCAAGAGTTGCAGGTGGACAACGCACAGTTGAGGTACACACGCACAGAACAGCAATCGCATTTTCCTCGCTCAGCTACCAGCAGAAACTGGTGAACGGTGTGGGAACTAAGGAGGCTCCATTTGTTTAGTTGCCAGAATAAAGGCTGCTTTTGGCGGCGCGTCAGCTAGTGCGCTCGCATTGACCCCCTTTACCTTCCGTTAAGACCGTCCAAGCCTTTGGCAATTCGCTTCTCCTCTTTGTCCGCTCGTTTGATCGGAAGGCGCGATAGGACGAGACCGCGCTTTCTGCTTTTAGACAATAAACTCCACTCTAGATTAGTACAGTCGACGAATCGCCTCTGCTCCATACGCGCACTTAGTGTCATTGCCGATTTCTGTAATTCTGGTTTTATTCTGAGACGAATTTTGAGGCGCCTCAGGCTACAATGTTCAATCAGTTCCGACCAGGCTCAGGCGGGGGCGGAAGACCTGGGGGCGGGACCGCGGTACAATCGGGCGGAAGAAGCGCGGATGCTGTCAGTGCGGGAGCCCGCGACATGGCGGAGAGCCGGCAGGCCGCCGCAGCATTGGCGGAACCCCGGGATGGCGGACGACATGGTGATTCGCGCGCGAAGCAGCGCGGAGGGGGGATTGGCGCGTTTCCGCTAGTTGCGCTTGTTGGTGCTGTCGGCTCTGGCGTCGCGGTACGTGCCGCTATAAGCTCTTTCGGTGCCTCTTTTCACTCTCTTTCAGTCTTTCTCCCTCACTCTCTCCCAGCTCTTTTCCACTCTGTTAGTTTTTGTTCTTAGAAAAGGATACGCGTTATTGAGCGAAGGGCGCCTCAACCGCCGCCGCTGCGCGGCGTGTCGCGTGTTGCTTGCACCGTGTATGACCGTATCGCACCCCTCGCCGCGTGTCAGTCTCTCCTGCAACATAACACCGTTCCGTGAGATGAAACGACGTGTCCCGCGATCGTCACGCTCCATGTACGTCGTGTCATCTCTCCCGTTCCTTACAGGCGCTTGTGATGCATCTCCGCGGGGCGGAGCAGAAGCGCGCCGAGCTGGAGCGCCACGTCAGTATGCTGCAGAAACAGTTGGCGAAACAGCAGGTGAGAACAACGAACGAACGCGCCGGCCGAGCAAGGCAATCCAAGCGCGCAATCAAGCGCGCCGAGAAAGCGCGCCGATAATAAATATATCCTCCCACCCCACCCTTCCTCCAACGCCTAAACACTTCTCCCCACCACCTGAGCGCATTCTAAGAACATGCGAAACCAGTAACCAGTCTTCGGCTGGGACCTCGCCCGCTTAAGCTTACGCTATGCTGTCCGCCGCGACCGGTCCGACATTGGCGGCCTCAGCGGTGTTGCCAGTTTCCAGAGCGGTGGAGCGAGGTGGAACGAGGTAACGCGAGGTGAAGCGAGGTGCGAATAAAGGGAGAAAAGGTGGGACGAAGTGGAGAGTGGAGTGGAGTTGAGTTGGGTGAAGACAGCCGAGTGTTGTGCGCGTGAAGTACCGATAGGCGGAGCGGCGGAGGGGGCGGGGGAGGGGGGGAAAGGGGGAGGGGGGAACGGCGGGAGGGGGGAAGGCGGTAGGGGTGAAAGGGGCCGTAGAGAGGTGGCGGGGAGCAGTGCATTAGAGCGCGTGGGCCGTCCATCTCGACGCGAGAGGCGACGCGCGCTCATGACATTAGTGAGGAAGGGTAAGGGTAAGCGAGCGCGTGAGGGGGAGCCGTCATGAAGTTCACTCGCGGCGGCGCCTGCGCCACGCCCTCGCGAGTCGCTCCACCCACCTGTCGCCTGAGTATTTCTAATGTGCTGTAATCAAACACGACACTGCCACCCCCTTTCCTCCCGCTCTCCCACCCCTCTCCGCAACCCCCACCTCCCACTCCCCCTCCCCCTCCCCCTCCCCCGCCCCCGCCCCCGCCCCCGCCCCCGCCCCCGCCCCCGCCCCCTCCGCCTCCTCGCTCCCGCGCCCAAACCACGTGGTGCGACAGGGCCGTCGGTCGCACAAAGCGTCGCCGGATACCGACACGGAGGACGCGCAACCCGCTTCTCCTTCCGCGGACGGCGCTGGTGCTTATAACGAAACGGCGGCTGCGGCGGCTGCGGCGGCTGCGGCGGCGGCGGCGGCGGCTAATAACGAGGCGGTGCGCGCGGAGCTGATGGGCGCGGTGCAGGCGCAGGCGGAGGCGGTTGCGCGGCTGGACGCGGCGATGGGCGCGCTGCAGGAGGAGGTGGCGGAAGGGCGCAACGCGTCGCTGCTGCTGCTGCTGGAGGCGGAAGAGGTGCGCGCGGAGGGGGGAGGGTCGAGGGGGGGTACGGGGGAAGGGGCGAGGGGGGAAGGGGAAAGGGAGAAAGGGGAAGGGGGAATGGGGAAAGGGAGAAAGGGGGGGAGGGGGAAAAGGCTTAGGGAGAGAAGTAGAGAAAGGGTGGGTTTAGCATGGGAGAAGAGGAAGGACGGAGGGTGTGTGGAGGGAGGACAAGGGGTGAGAGTGAGTGGAAGTGGGAACGTGGAGGATTCTTGGTTTTCTCCTGCTCTTTTCACGCCCCCCTTGATCTCGTCTTTCCCATTCCCCACTTCCCACCTCCCTCTCCCATCCTCGCTTTCTGTTTCCTCTCTCACCCTCACCCTTCACTCTTTCCCTCGCCACCCTCCCCCCCCTCTCCACCGCCTTTCTACATTGTCAATACATTGCTCCCCCCCCCCACTCCCCGCGCGTTTTACCTCTCCCTCTCTCCGGCTCTCCTGCTGCTCCCTGTAACCCACGCTTCCGCCGTTCCCCACCCTCTTCCTCCTTCCTGCCCTTCCCCCTGTTTCTTCTTCCCTCTCCCGGCCCGTCCCCCACGGTTCCCTCCCGTTCCCTACCCCCCCGCCCCTCCGCAGAAGTACCAGAAGGCGAGCGGGGACGCGGAGGCGAGATGACTTTTGAGTTGACTCAAAAGTCCCCTCCCGTTTCTTCCCCCCCCCCTCCCCCCTCCGCAGAAGTACCAGAAGGCGAGCGGGGACGTGGAGGGCATGGCGGAGGCGCAGCGCGCGCTGAGGGGCGCGGTGGAGGGCGTGCAGGGGGAGGTGCGCGCGCTGGGCGCGCGGCAGGGGGAGGTGGCTGCGCTGACAGAGCAGGTCAAGGTGAGATGGGGGGGATGATGATGATGATGGTGATGCTGATGCTGATGCTGATGCTGATGCTGATGCTGATGCTGCTGCTTCTTTATCATGCCATGCCATGCTCTCTCATCATCCCCACCCGTCTCCCCCTCTCTTCGTCTTACCCCTCTCGTCCCACTCCTATCAGCCCTCTCATCTCCCCCCTCTCTTCCCCCCCGCTCTCCCCCTTGTCCCGTACCCCAGTCCCTCCAAGCGCTAGTAGTCTCGCTACAGCAGCAGCAGCAGAAGCAGCGGGCAGAGGGCGACGGCATTTGAGTCGACTCAAAACCCACCCCCTTGCTTCCCCCCCCCCCTTTCTCCCCCCCCCTCCCTTACCCCAGTCCCTCCAAGCACTAGCAGTCTCGCTGCAGCAGCAGCAGCGGGCAGAGGGCGACGGCAATCCCAAGGCAGCAGCAGCAGCAGCCAATGGGGACTGGGACGTGCATGCGGTTCCTGGGGTGGGAGGGGCATGGCAGGAGGAGCTGCAGCAGCACGTGCAGGAGCTCAGGCAATACGTGGACACCCGCTGCGGCGACGCCGTTGCTGCTGCCAACGTCTCTCTCAAGGTCTGTTACATTTTGTTGCGTTTCACATTTCGTTGAACCTTTGACTTGGTCAAAGAAGTCTGATTTGATTTGGGTCAATCAAGGTCAAGAGCCTTGATTGACCTAAATTTAAAGCCAGGATCTCAAGTAAGAGAATTTGGTATCAACTACAAAACAATTGACGCTAGGGTCACCCTGTTTGAGTGGGCGAAGTGGAGATTGGGGGGCCAGGATCCTGGCTTTAAATCAGACCCTGAGATTGGGGGACCCAACCCAGGTCCTCCACCCTACATACACTCTCTTCTCTCTTTCTCTTCTTACTCCTGCTCCGTTCATCTGCCGGGCTCCCTCTGTCCTTCCCTTCCCTCACCCCGTTCACTGACTCATTCTCTCACTCACTTTCACACCCGCTCCCTTCTTTCCCTCTTCCTCTCCTCCTCCCCTTCACCCCCCCACACACCAGGCAATGGAGCAGCAACTGCTAGAGACGCAGCAGCAGCAGCAGGCGGCAGCAGAGGTTGCAGCAGCAGTGTCAACCACACAGGAGGAGGCAAGAAAAGCGAGGGAGATGGTAGAGGCACTGCAAGACGAGGTTGTTTTGCTGGCTGCTTCTGGTGGTAGTGGGGGTGGTGGGAGTGAGGAAAAGGAGGAGAGGGATGAGACCGACGGGAAACGGGAGGTCCGGCTGGCAGCTGCCGAAGCTGCAGTAGCCTCGGTGGCGGAGCTCCGAACCAAGCTGGATGCCATGGAAACCGCCTTGGGAGCTTCGTTAGAGGCTAAGATAAAGAAGACAGTGTCTGAGACAGTGGAATCCACTCAGAAAGCCAGCAATGAGAGCAACATGATGACTCAAGAGAGAGTGTCTAGTCTCGAATCAAGTTTAGAAGAGCTTCAAGTGACTGTTGAGTCGACTCAAAAGTCCACTCAGGGAACCAACAATGAGAGCGATATGAAGACTCAAGAGAGAGTGTCTCGCCTTGAGTCAAGCTTGGAAGAGCTGCAAGTGAACCTAGGAGATGTGGAGGGCAGCTTGGGAAAAGTTCAGATCCGCGTCGGGCACCTGGTGGAAAAGTTTTCGCCGCTGGATGAGGACATCGGGCAGCTGAAAGAGCTGGTGGGCAGGTTGAAGAGTGAGGTGGAGGAAGCAAGTGGGAAGATTGCTGCTGTGGAAGGCAAGGCGGGGGCGGCTGCCGCTGCTGCTGCGGCTGCTGCTGATAATGCTGCTGCTGCTTCCGCTGCTGCCGCTGCTGCTGCCGCTGCGGCAGCTGCTTCACCTGCTGCTGCAAGTGGTGGTGGTGGTGGTGGTGGTGGTGGTGGTGAGTCAGTGGTAGTAGCAGCAGCAGCATATGAGCATGCTGTGGCAAGAAAGACGACGGTGAGTGAGAGAGTTGGCGAGGAGGAGGAGGAGGAGGTGAGGGAGGAGGAGAAGGTGGTAGTAGAAGATGTGACAGCTGGGGCCGTGGTAAAGGGACAGGTGGGAGGACTAGAGACCGGCACAGCAGCAACAGCAGCAGCAGCTGCAGCAGCAGAAGCCACGTCATCATCATCATCTGCAGCTGCTGCTGCTGGTGCCGCTAGTGCTGCAGCAGATTCTGCTGCCGCTGCTGCAGCGGCGGCGGCAGTGGCAGAGGCCGCGGTTGCAGCAGCTGCAGCTGCAGCGGAGAGTGCAGCAGAAAGGAGGCTAGCAGCAGTGCGGGAGGAGTGGACAAGCACTCTAGTGACTTCTATTTCTGCTGATGTATCTGCAGCTAAGGAAGCAGCAGCAAGGCTCGAAGACAGGCTGAACGAGAGGTTCGGAACGGTGGATGTGAGGTTTGGAACGGTGAATGAGAGGCTCGAAACGGTGAATAAGAGGTTTGGAACGATGGACGATAGGTTCGGCGAGGTGGAGGAACGGGTGGCGGAAACCGAGGCTAGAGCCGTGGCTCGGGACGGCACGGTGTGCTCCGTGGAAGCTAAGTTAGTGGCATTGCAAGATGATGTGGAGGGGAGGGGTGAGGCAGTGAGTGAGGTAAGGAAACTGGTAGAAGAGGAGAGGGAAGAGAGGCGTGTGGAAGTGAGGGAGTTGAGGGAGATAGTGGAGGGAGAGAGGGAGAGGGTGGGAGAGAGTATGAAGGAGCTTCGGGATCAGGTGACTGCCGTGGAAACTCTTGCGGCTGCCCAGAAAGTGGAGCTCGGGCAGCAGAAAGAAAAGGTTTGGGAGCAGGGGGAGGAGATTGAGAGGATTGGGAAGCAGATAGAGGAGAGTGCGAAGAAGCAGCAGGAGGAGCGAGAGGAGGAGAGAGAGAAAGAGAGAGTAGCAACGGCTCTTGCTGTGGACGAGTGCAAGGAGCAGGTTAAGGGAGTCAAATCCATGGTCAAGCACCTCTCCGAGTCTGTCGAAGAGGTTCGGAACGACATGCGCCCGATTTCCGATGCTGTGGTCGAGGTCCGGGTGACCATGGCCGAGGCTCGGAACCTGCAGCAGGAGGCTGAGGAGGCTGTGGGGAGGCTGCGGAGCAAAGTAGAGGGGGTGCAAGATTCTGTGTTGGAGGTGAAAAAGGAAGTGGAAGAAAATAAGACGGAATTGGATCAGGTGAAGCATGGGCTGCATGAGTGCAGGGATGAGGTGGTGGAGATCCGAGGCACACTCGCGGACGTTCGGAAGCACGGCGAGGAGGCCCGGGAGGCGCACGAGGGGCTCCAGGAGGAGGTTCGGGAAGCGAAAACAGGGCTTCAAGCGAGCGTCAATGCGTTGGAGACAGGCTTGGAGGAGGTTCGGCAGGCGGTGACTCTGGCTCGGGAGGATATTTCCACTTTCCAGGAAAGTGCTGATTGCACGGACAATGAGGTTGCTTCAATCAAGGAGCAGGTTCGGTCCATTCAAGATGACGTGGGTCTGGTTCGGAAGGACGCTGTTCAGGTTCGGGTGGATGTGGACTCGCTTCGGATGGAGCTAGGTTCGGTGGAGCGGAGCCTGGACTCCACAGCACAGAAGGCCGCGGCTTCGGAAGAGGAGATCCAGGAGGTTCGGAAAGGCTTGCTGACGACAGTCCACACGGAGGTGGACAAGGTTCGGGAGAGCGTGGAAGAGGTTCGGGAGGAGGTGAAGGAGGTTCGGGTGGATATGGTTCGGGCAGAGGAAAAAGCGGCGGCAACGCTGCGAGACGCAGAAGCATCGGCACGTAAAGCAGTGGTGGCTCTGCAAGGGGAGTTTAAAGCCGAAGTAGCTGGCGTGCGTAAGGAGGTAACAGTGGTCCGGGAAGAGGCGGAGAATCTAAGTCATAGAGCTGATATGATAGATTCGCTTACGTCCTCCCTTACAGACAGCCTTGCACAGGCCCAGACCGACATTTCGGAGGTTCGGAAGGAGGTTGGTGCTGCCCGGACCGAAGCTGGCGAGGCTCGGAAGGAGCTGGAGGCGAGTCTCCGTACCACGGCGGAAGGCTTGGAGGAGAAGATTGAGGAGGCTCGGCAGCAGATAGGGTTGAAGGCAGCAGCGGTGCAAGCAGAGGTGACAGGAATGCAGAGCGACTTGCAGGAGAGGGTGGGTGAGATCAAATCGGTGCTTAAGGAAGGGGAGGAGGCGCAGTCTCTAAGGGTGGTTGCTTTAGAGAAGAAGCTGTCAGCTGTGGTGGCTGGAGGGGAGGAGGCGGTGAGTGCAGTAGCAGCGCGACTGAACCAAGTGGCAGAGGAGGTGGCAGACGTGGCAAACCGGGGCGAGCAGCATGCAGCAGATGCGGCGGCAGCGATCGAGCGCACAGAGCGAGAGCTCGCAGCTGCTGTGGCATCATCGTCAGCGGCAGCAGCGGCGGAACGAGAAGGGATTGTGGAGCGAGTGAACGGGCTAGACGTATCCGTGCGAGGGCTGGAAGAGAAGGCGAAGGAGGGCAGGCAGTGTGCCGACGCTGCGGATGCAGCAATCAAAGCCGTACAGGTGGAGGTTGCAGCAGACAGGCAGAAGGCGGAGGAGCGAGCAGCGGAGGAGGAGCTCCGGAAATGGACAGACGCGGAGAAGACCCAGGCGCTGCAGGGCGATGTGTCCGCGCTGCAGCAGCGGCAGGGCGAGCAGGAGCGGGAGCTGAAGCGGCAGGAGGAGGAGAGAGTGGCCGCGGCGCAGAAGATGCTGACGAGGATGCAGGCGGATGTGAGGGCGCTGGTGGAGAAGTTGGAGGAGGTGGTGCGGGAGGAGCAGGCGGGGGTGAGGGGGGAGATGCGGAGTGCGGTGGTGGAGTTGCAGGGGGGCCTGGCGGAGGTGAAGGGGGGGTTGGGGAAGGTGGAGGCGCAGCTGAGGGATGCGGAGGGGAAGGCGCAGGCGGGGATCAGTGCGTGCCAGGAGGTACGTGCATGGGGAGGGGTGTGGGAGTGGGTGTGGGAGTGGGTGTGGGAGTGGGTGTGGGAGTGGGTGTGGGAGTGGGTGTGGGAGTGGGTGTGGGAGTGGGTGTGGGTGTGGGAGTGGGTGTGGGAGTGGGTGTGGGAGTGGGGGTGGGAGTGGGTGTGGGTGTGGGAGTGGGTGTGGGTGTGAGTGTGGGTGTGGGAGTGGGAGTGGGTGTGGGAGTGGGTGTGGGAGTGGGTGTGGGAGTGGGTGTGGGTGTGGGTGTGGGTGTGGGAGTGGGTGTGGGAGTGGGTGTGGGTGTGGGTGTGGGAGTGGGAGTGGGTGTGGGAGTGGGTGTGGGAGTGGGTGTGGGAGTGGGTGTGGGAGTGGGTGTGGGAGTGGGTGTGGAAGTGGGTGTGGGAGTGGGTGTGGGAGTGGGAGTGGGTGTGGGTGTGGGTGTGGGTGTGGGTGTGGGTGTGGGTGTGGGTGTGGGTGTGGGTGTGGGAGTGGGAGTGGGAGTGGGAGTGGGTGTGGGAGTGGGTGTGGGAGTGGGTGTGGGAGTGGGTGTGGGTGTGGGAGTGGGTGTGGGAGTGGGTGTGGGAGTGGGTGTGGGTGTGGGAGTGGGTGTGGGTGTGGGTGTGGGTGTGGGTGTGGGTGTGGGAGTGGGAGTGGGAGTGGGTGTGGGTGTGGGTGTGGGAGTGGGTGTGGGTGTGGGTGTGGGTGTGGGTGTGGGTGTGGGTGTGGGTGTGGGTGTGGGTGTGGGAGTGGGAGTGGGAGTGGGAGTGGGTGTGGGAGTGGGAGTGGGAGTGGGAGTGGGTGTGGGTGTGGGTGTGGGAGTGGGTGTGGGAGTGGGTGTGGGAGTGGGAGTGGGTCTGGGAGTGGGAGTGGGAGTGGGTGTGGGAGTGGGTGTGGGAGTGGGTGTGGGTGTGGGAGTGGGTGTGGGAGTGGGAGTGGGTGTGGGAGTGGGAGTGGGTCTGGGAGTGGGAGTGGGTGTGGGTGTGGGTGTGGGTGTGGGAGTGGGTGTGGGAGTGGGTGTGGGAGTGGGTGTGGGTGTGGGGAGTGGGGTGTGCCATGAGCAAGGGACTCAGCAGGGGACATGGAAGTTCAAATCGAGCTTGCTCAATTCCAACAAACCTCAAACACCCCATCCCTCCCACTTTCCCCCCTCCCTCCTCCCTCTTCCCGCCCCTCTCTGCCTGCAACCCCCCCCCCCCCCCCCCCCCCCCTCCCCCCCATACCCCAAACTCCAAACCTCGAAATCAAAACCCCGCAGGAGGAGAAGCGGCTGGTGGGAGTGTGTGCGGACATGAAGGGCGAGATACAGCGTGTGGAGGGTGATCTGAACGCGCTCTCCATGAGCCACAGCCAGGTGCTGGCGTACATGCAGGCCAAGCAGGCCAAGGAGGCCAAGGGCACCGGTGAGTGTGGGGTGGTGGGGAGCGGTGGTGGGGTGGGAGAAGGTAGGCAAAGGGGTGGTATGGGGTAGTTGTGGGTAGACATGGCCAGGTGCTGGCGTACATGCAGGCTATGGAGGCCATGGAGGCCATGCACCTTCAGGCCAAGGAAGCCAAGTGCACTGGTGTGTGCCCCAGGGTTGTGAGCGGTGGTGAGGGGCGGTGAAGAGTGGTGAGCAGTGGCATGAGAAGGGCTGGGAACGCTGGAATGGGGTGGGTGGGGGGGGGGGGGCAACGGAGCACAAGCAGGCAGGTGATGGCATGCATGGTGCTACACTGACCAGGAGTGAAACCCCCTTGTTCCATAACACCTCCGCCCTTGTACCCCCCCCCACACACCATCTCCTCCACCATCTCCCCATGTCTCCACCCTTGTCCCCCCCCCACCCTTCCCCCACCATTCCACCCAAGTCCTATCTCCCCAATCCCCTCTAACTTGCCACTATCCCCTCACCGTCCACCCTTCCCCCTCTCTACCCAACCCTCCCCCCCCACCACCACCCCAGGCATTATGAAGTGGACGAAGCGCAACATAGCATCGCGCTCTGAGGGCCCCTCTCCCCATGAGTCACCGCGCAACCTGCCCAAGCGCTGGTGGCCGCCCTCCCCTGCCACGGACGTGCACAGCAGCATGCGCTCTGATACCAGTGATGATTTCCGTGACCGAGAGTGAGACATGCTCTTAATGAGCGCTTTGGAGTTATTTTTTTACACTTTTCTTTTTTTGGGGGAGGGCTGGGGACTTTTTCCATGGGGGTGGGTGGGTAGCTGGCACGTTGAAGGAAATGCTTTAGGCTACATGGTTGTGAGTTAGTGAAGTGCCAACTAACATCTTTTGTTTGTAAGAATTTTGATACAGGCTTGTAATATGTAGCAATCTATGTTTCCATACCGTAGCTTGTCTGCAGCAAGGTTGTGCTAGGCCAAGAAAGTCCTGCCACTACTCTGTTAATGGGTGGTAGTCATCATTCTATTTTTAAACTAGGAACACAATCAGCTGTAGGACGGCCCTTCACGAGGAATGAAACAAGCCAGCGAGCTCGCTCTAACGAGTACAAACCACGGATTGAGTTGTCGAGATGCCACCGCTTCCCGCCAACAACCTCCACCAAATTCGAAGCATACAGTGACCGTTGAACAATTCGTCCCCCCTTTCCCCGTCTCATTTCTCTCCCAGAACAAGCAGGTACATGCACTTCTGTGTTGCTTGTTCAATGTTCATGGCCGCAACAAGTATCGAGCGGGAAATCCTGGCACGGACGCAGTAGAGATAACTGTGCACACCAGCGATTGCTACTTGGTGATAGTGCTTGCGAATAGGTGATAGTGCTTACTATTAGGTAATAGTGCGTGTCTGCTGATCGCGTGAACCGCGCGCGTCGCGGGCTGGCTGGCTCTTTTTCCCTCCAGCCCGCGCATACCAGCATGGCTGTCGGCGGATCGCTCGTCGCTGCGAGCGCGCTCGGGTACGCATTCAGGTGCGCACGGGGTGTTGGAGGAGACGAGTTTAGAGTCGACTCGATAATGGGATCTTCGCGTTTATCGACTTCCGGTACGTATTCACGTGTGAATGAGATAACGGAGATGAATGCGATGAATACGATGAGCTTGGAGCACGGGTTGTGCTGTAATGGTGGTCTTAGAGAACCGTCCTGAGGTGGTCTCGCCGTCTTTTGAGACGTCGCATAACATATTTTTCCCGAGCGTCATGTTGAGATGATATCGGAGCACGGGTTCTGCGGTAGTGGTGTTCTTAAAGCACCGTCCTGAGATGAACTCCCCGTCTTAAAAGACGTCTCAGCCTCGGTACATGTTTCCGGAGCGCCGCGCGGGGATGATATATTTTACGTAGCTCCTGCTCCTCCTCCACTCGCCGCTCCGTGCACCATCAGTGTCGTCTGTCTCTCCACTTCATATGCCTCACCAGCCTCGCATTTTGACGTTGATTCTGTTGCCTCTGGGTCGGCAGATTCTGTTGCCTCTGCTCTATCGCTTCGCTCTATCGTTTCCTCGCGCACACTCTAGTTCCCTCCTCTCTCATCTTCGCATTCCCCCTATCCCCGCCTCGCTCTCCTCTCGTACTCACGTCTCTCGGTCTCACGGTCGCGCCACTCTCCAGAGCTCACCATCCCACGCCCTTTACCCTGCTCTCCCTACCCCACTCCACCTACCCCATTCCACTCCTCCTTCCCCAACACTTTGAAAGCATTGCTAACACCTTCCGCATTTCTGACCCCCCCTCCCTTCCGCCAACCGCCATTCCGCCGCCCACAGCGGAACTTTTCCGGAGATCCGCAGCAGCAGCGCCGGCGTCAGCGCAGGGATCGGCAAGGGTACGGGCGTGGGCACGGGCGCAACGATTCGCGCAGGCGCCTGTGGGAGCATGAGCGCAAGTATCAGCGCGTGTGGGATGAGCGCGGGCGCGGGCGTGCGCGTATGCGTGGGCGCGAGAGGGAGGAGCAATGCGCGCTGCTCTGAAAGCCGCAAACACAGGACAGCTGTAAAACACCCGTTTCTTTCGGGTAGAACTTTCCGGGCAGCTCGTCGGTCAGGTTCGCTTGTTCGGGCAGCAACGCCAGAAGGTCCCGGGTCTGGTTCCTTAGGCAAAGGGACGGGCAGGTTGGAGGGGAGAGAAGGGAGGGGAAGGGACGGGGGGAATGAAGGGGAGAAGAGGGGAGGAGGGAGGGGCGTAAGGAGTGGGAGTGGAAGCGAGGAGAGAAGGGGAGAGGGGAGGATGGGAAAGGGCGGCAGCAGTGGTCCGGAAGGTGCAGGGGGAGCAAGAAAAGATGCAGTGAGAGAAGTGTGGCAGGGGCAGGAGCAGGTGAGCAGGGCAGCAGCAGGAGGCGAAGGAGGAGGAGGGGGAGCGGGAGGAGGAGGGGGAGGAATGAAGGCGAAGGGAAGCGTATGGCAAGGCGAGGACGGGAGAGCAGCAGCAGGCGGATCAACCACAGCAGCATCCCGCCCGCCCACAACCACCATTGCTGCCGCTGCTGCTGCCGCTGCCGCTGCTGCTGGTGCCGCTGCTGCGGGTGCTGCTGCTGCAGGAGCGAGGATGAAGCAGGAGGCGAGAAGGTGGGGCGGCAGTGGGGAAGCAGCGAGTGGCAGCGGCGGGGGCGCGGGGGCGGTACCTACTTATGGAAGAGTGTCTGGAGCGAGGGGGCGGGGAGAAACGGGCAAGCAAGAGGGCGGGGTAAAGCCAGCGACAGGGGACGTGTGGGTAGATGGCTCACAACGTGGTGAGGTCAGCCGTCGAGAATCTCCCACTGCCGCTTCTGCTGCTCCTGCTCCTGCTCCTGCTGCAGCTCCTGCTGATTCTCCTTCTCCCGTTCCTGCTGCTGCTGCCGGGACTGCAGGGGCTGCAGCTGCTGCAGTGGCTGCTGCGTCTAATGCTGCCAGTCCGTCAATCCCTCCTAAGGAAGCTCGCACACCCGTGCCCAGTACCCAGTCCCGGCCTCCTCCCCCTCCTCCTCCTCCTCCTCCTCCTATAGTCCCCGGTGGTTCAAAGACAGACGGTGGCTTGACTGCAGGGAGGGGGAGCACTGCAGGACGGATGGCTGCGGGGAGTGCCAGGGGGAGTGCAGGGGGCAGCGCAGGGAGCAGTGATGCTTTTGTGAATGAAGGTAGGACTTTAGTTCCATGTTTGTGCGTCTCTTACCCCTTCTCCATTTTCTGTTTCCCCTTCCCGTCGTCTCCTCCCCAATACCACCTCAGACTGCTTTCATTTAGTTCGTCTTCTTCCTCTTCTGTTTCCCCAGCAATCACCTGTCCGAATTTCATACTTAGTCAAGTGAAACAGCAACCCATGGCTTGTCCATCTCAGCTTAACTCAAGCTGCTCAGCATTACACTCCTAACTTCCTTCCCATCGTCTCCTTCCCAACGTGTCTGTGACTCCGGGCACCAGGGCTGTTGGTGTGGACGGAGCGGCGGCAGCAGTGGCTGGACGGGAACACACTGCGGGGCGCGAGAGGGAGAGCAGAACGCGCAGCAGCAGCAGGAGGAGCAGCAGCAGCAGCAGGGGTGGGCGGAGCAGCAGGAACAGCGGGAGCAGTAGGAGCAGCAGGGTATGATGCGCGGGGTGATGGGAGTGACAGACCTAGGACTGCTGCCCCTGTGATCAGGTGAGAGCGTGCGTGCGTGCGACTTTTGAGTCGACTCAAAGATCACCTCGTTATGATGTGCGGGGTAATGGCAGTGGCCGGCCCAGGACAGCTGGCCCTGTGATCAGGTGCGCTGGTACTGCTGCTGGTAATGTGACGAGAGAAAGGCTTATGTGACGAGAGAAAGGCTTATGTGACGAGAGAAAGGCTTATGTGAGGAGACAAGTCAGAAAGCGATGAGGCCAATGAGAGAATGGAGTAATTCCCTCTCCTGTCTTCCCCCCACACCCACTCTCTCTATCGCTGTATGAAGCGTGTACTAGTATCTGTTGTCAACCATTTTCTTCATCCCACCCAACCCATGACACACACTTTTCTGCTCGCCTTCGTTTGTGCCTGGAAACCTCTGTCTCACTGCCCTCCCTCCCTCCCGCCCGCCCTCCCTCCCTCCCTCCCGCTCTCCCTCCTCCATCATGTTGCCCACACCATCAGGCCAGGGAGTACATACGATGATTTGCTCTCCACCAGTCGCCCCTTCCCCCAGCCAATTCCCCTCCCAGTAAGCCCATTCCCCTCTGTAGAAGTCCCATCCCCCTCACCTTTCTCCCACTCACCCCCCTTGCAATCCCTTGCAATCCCTTGCAATCCCTTGCATTTTCCTAACAGTGTAACTCTCTTCTCTGACAAGCCCCCTCCCTGCTCTGCCTACGACCGCCATGCTCGTGCCTGTCTCCCTCTCGTGCATCCCCGCATTGGGAGCTGATTCGTTTTCTCTTACACGAGATGCATGTGTGAGACGCATACATATGGGCGGCCCTGTTTTGAGACAACTCAAAAATCGTATGCTTATGCAACATGCATGTGTGAAATGGTTGGCTTGCACCAAGGACGAAAGCACCTCTGTCCGTTTGTTTCTGCTGTCATCCAATGCGTCTTACAGTCTGCTGCCCTTGCATGTGTGTGTCTGCTGCTGCTCCTGCATGTGTGTGTCTGCTGCTCTTGTGTGCGACTGCTGCTCGTGGCCGTGCAGGAGATGGTTCGGTTTCTCGTCAATGTGTGGGAACAGGAGGGCCTCTATGACTGACTCAATCTACACTACACCCACACTCAGTACAAGAATCAATCCTGCAGTAACATACGCGCGGTACTAGACTCACAGTAACAGACTCACAGCAAGGTTGATACTACACAGTCTGCAGTCACGTGCACGTTTCGCACATAGGGAACTTTTGGTCCCTCATGGATGGACTCTTACTGAGGTCTGGGCCATGTCCAGTTCCCTCCATGGATCTCTATTCCTCACGCGAGGCTTTCGTGTTTCGCTTGCGAAGCCTTGGCAAATCTAGCTCGCATTGCAAGCGGCGGGCAAAGCGTGGGAGCAAGGAAAGCAAACAAACCAGAATGGAATGCCTGTGAGCGTATGGGGCTGGATCCTTCTCACGTGCTTCAAGACTGGCTTCCAGGTAGAGCCAGGTATAGGGCCTTGCCTTCACCGAACTGACAGGATTGTAGGGGGACGACCCGAAGTGTTGGTACTAACTGTTATATTTTATTACCAGTGTGTGGGTGTGATGTGAGTAACAAATGAATTTAGGTAATGAGGTAATGCTGTATTCCTTACCGACCGTCAACATTGCGTACAGCAGCTCCTGGACCCGTATTAAAAGTTGATTTCCTTACCGACCAAATGACTCAATTCGGACCGCGCATATCCGCACCCCAGGAAATCAACTTTTGTTTTTTCACTCAAAGGGAGTCACGCTCCTTAGCACCTAGGAGTCGCTGTCCTCGCGCTCTCTCGTAAACGCGTGCAGCCACAACTGCGCCTAGACTAAGCTGAGCCGACGAACTTCGCCATGGCTGAACACATCGACATCACTACGCTCACGCAGGACCGTTTGAACGAACTGCTGCGACAACTTCACGAAAACTCCGAAGAAATCACGGCACTGACGGCATAACGCACGTCCCTGCAGAATGACGTCGCACGAGCACAGCAAGCACAATCACAAGCACCTGACACTCTGGGGCAACCTGCACCACAGGCATCGCAGCAGGGAAGTGTGGGGCAACCTGCGAGCGCGGCCAGTGATGGCGTCGTCCGCAACGACGGAGACGACGACCACGGCACGACACACCACGAAGCGACAAATGCGGCCAGGAGTCAACCCCGCGTCACGATTTCTGTGCCGGCCGGCGAATCAACACAGCAGTCGCCGATGCCGCTGAAACCGCAGCGTCCGCCATGCTTTGACCCGAGTCAACAGGGTGGTCCTACCGTTCAAGTGTGGCTGTTCATGTTGAACGTTTTCTTCGACGCCAACTACGTCTCGGAGGATACGGCGAAAATTCGCTATGCCGTGTCACTGCTGCGAGGACTCGCCATGGATTGGTGGCGTGTCATCGTCACGAAGCCGACGGACTACGCGGCTCTACCGACACGGGAAGGACCAACCGGACCCTGGGCGCCGTCATATTTCGTGGAGGTGCCCCAATATCGTACATGGGACGCATGGTGCGCAGGACTGTGCACTCGATTTGAGCCAATTGCGGCTTCAATCGTGGCGCGTCAGAAGCTCCGCAATTGGCGCCAACTCGGTTCCGTCCAAGACTACACCAGCGGGTTTCTGGCGCTGTGTGAGCAGGTGGACTACATGCACGAATCTAAGCGCATCGACCGCTACATCAGCGGCCTGAAGCACGACATCGCTTAGGAAATCCAGCTCCACGGCGTCACCGACTTTCAGGAGATTCTCGCTATGGCGGAGAAACTCGATTTCTTCCGCCGACCGAGACCGGGGGTCCTACGGAAGCAGCAGTAACTGGGGACATCGATCTCGTGGGACGAACGAGGGCGCTACGATACGTGCCGTCGCCGCGAATGTCGCTGCCGCACCGTTTAAAGGGCACTGCTTCGCGTGCAATCGGCCGGGACACCGCAAAAGCGAATGCCCGGAAAACGCAAAGGGAAAGGGGGAAGCTGAGCAGCAGAAACAGACCAAGCAGTAGGGAAACGCTGGGAGTCAGTAGCAGACGGGCCCTCTACTGACAGGTCACGCCGCTCGCCCGACCCAACCGACCATCACCGAGTGATTGTGCTAGTTCACGCAATCCACCACATCCGGCAGAAAAAGGAGGGTACCGCGGTAGATAACCCCATACTGCTTAGTGGGAAAATTGGGACAGACTTAGTTAAAATATTCGTAGACGGGAGAGCAAGCCACAGCCTCATCAACACCGCCACAGCACGGAAGTTGAAACTGCCACTAGACAGATGTTTACGTGAGATCGATGCAAGACTGGTTGACAGCACGCCTTTGGTGATACGTGAACGCGTGGATTGCGGGTAACTTCACATTTAGTCAGGAAATGCTCGCGACAACCCTCGACGGAACCGACATTTTACTCGGCCGTGATTGGCTGCGACGACACAACCCGCGAATCGACTGGACGATGGGTGACTGTCAGAAGAATGAACGAGAATGAATGAACTATGAAAGAGTTGGGTACAAGTACTAACCCTAATTGGGTTGTACCCCTTATGGGCTACCCCACTATAGCCTACACAAAGTAAGCAATATAATGTTCTGACACACCCCCATAGGCAAAGTGGGGGAGAACAAGTGGTCACAAGACCAGTCAAGAAAAGCAAAGCAAGCTCAGGGTGGATCACAAAGTCACCACACAGTCCGAGCACAAGCAAAGGGCCACAAGGCCACTTCACATGCAGAGTTATATAAAAGAGAACAAACAAGAAAGTGATCATACCCTAGCAAGTGTAAGCATGTAGGAATATATATAAATCACAGTACAAGCAAAGTCACGCAGAGAGCAAGTGAGGCAAAGTAGGCACAAGGAATAACACAGTAGAGAAGCGCTGATGATCACCAAGCGGAAGTGCCTTGGTGAATATATAAGCAATGTTGGCCCTAGTGGCCACGTACGCAAGACGAAGCTGGCCACGCTACTGCAACTCTCGAGCAAGGAAGTATCGCAGAGCGATGTGCTTCGTTCTGTGCTCCAGTCTATGCTCCTGACACAAGGCAATCATGGCCTTGTTGTCTACGTACAGAACTGGAGGCGAACGAGGCTGCTCTCCCAAGTCAGTCAGCAGTTAGGTGAGCCAGCGTAGCTCCTGTGCAGCCATGGCCCCGGCGTAGATCTCAGCCTCACAACTAGAGCTGAGAACAGAAGACGAGCGGGTAGACCGCCAGGAAACAGAGCCGGAACCGAGGCTGAAGGTGTAACCCTATGACGACCGCTGCGTAGCTGAGTCGTCAACCCAAGAAGCGTCTGCGTGACCAGTGAGGACAACTGGACCCCGTCCTCCAAGCACGAGCCCCATGCCCGACGTACTGCACAAGTAACGCAACACCCTCTTCGCAGCATCCCAGTGCACCTTTCGATGCCTACCGAGAGCCACGTAGCGAGCCAGGAGGCTGAGAGGGTACGCGAGTTCAGGTCGTGTGCACGTCATCAGGTACATGAGGCAACCCACAAGCTCTGGGTACGGACCACTCGGCTCTACGGACTCGTCCGAAGGTGGAGCTGAGAGCGAGTGGCCGGTAGACAGAGGAGTGGGTTGTGGCGAGCAGAACTGGAAACCGAAGCGCTGAAGGACCTGGTGCACCATGTGTGACTGAGTCAGTGTGATGGTGCGCCGTGCTCTATCCCGGGTGATCTGCAAGCCAAGATAGCTGCGCAGTTCACCCAGGTCAGTGCAAGTGTGTCAAATCTGCAGCTCCGACTTCGCAAGGGTCAGTGCCTCAGTATCAGAAGTGGCAAAGACGAGGTCGTCGACGTACACAAGACGTAGAACGGCGGCAGCGACGTGTCGGTGCGTAGAAACAGCGACGGGTCAGCAGTAGAAGGAGTAAACCCCAGAGCAGCAAGTGTAGTCCTCAGTGTGTCGTGCCACTCGCAAGGCGCCTGGCGGAGACCGTAGACTGGCCGGCGGAGGCTCCACTGGGTACCTGCAGGAAACGACCCGGTGAAGCCAGGTGGGCAGCGCAACCAGATCTCCTCGTGCAGGCTGCCCTGCAAGAAAGCTGTACTAAAGTCTACAGAGTGTAACTCATAGTCACACTGAGCAGCAACATGCAGCAACACCTCAAGAGTAGTCATCTTCGGGGTGGGGGAGAAGGCCTGGAAGTAGTCAACCCCCTGTCGCTGACTGAAGCCTCAAGCAACGTAACGCGCCTTGAAGGCAGGCGGAGAACCCGGCGGCCGCTTCACCCTGAAAATCCACATGCCATCGACTATGTTCGCCCGAGACGAGGGAACTGCGTCGACATAGGTGCCTGTGGACTTCTAGGATGCCATCTCGGCATCCATGGCTGCCTGCCACTGAGAGGAGTAGGGACCCGTAATCGCCTCTGCGTAAGAGCGCGGGGTCGGGATGTCTGGTGCATCCAGGTCTCCCTCAGGGGCAAGCAGCATGGAAGCGAAATGAGGTACAGCAGCTGCAAGACACTCAAAGTCCTCCTGCCTGTCCTCAAGGACGTCCGTGCCAAGAGCACACTCACCCCCAACGGACGAAGGACTGGCAGACTCAGACGT